TTCCTCCTGCTCATCCTCGAAGACATCGCTGCCCACCGTGGCCAGGACCAGGATGCGGAAGAGCAGCATCACCACCAGCCAGAACCGCCCCACCATGGGCGAGTGCTCCTGCACCGCATCCAGCAGCGAGCTCAGGAAGCCCCACTCTCCCATGGCCACGCTGCGGGAGGGGGTCAGTGCTGGGGGTGGGGTCGTGCCCCAGGGACAGACCCCAGTGGGCAGCACGGCCCCTCCAGCTCACCCTCCATGCCAAGTGCTTTGAGCCACCCCTACTCCCTGGAGGGTGCCTGGGCAATGCTGTCAGCCATGTCCTCAAGCATCTGCTGTGCCTCAGAGCCAAGTCCAAGGACATCAGCTGGGCAGGACTGGCAGCATCTCCATTCCTTGTCCCCCTGCCCCAGATCCCGAGCCCCCCCCACACCCAGAGCCCGATGAATTCAGCCCCAGTACCTGTGGGGCTGCAGTCCAGCCCAGCTGGCGCGTCCAGGGCTGTCCGGGACTCTCCAGTCCCTTGTCAGGCTGGGATGGGATGACGGTCCCACAGCCACGCCTGGAGTCCTTTTAAAGCGACAGAGCAGCTGTGGGGCTCCCAGAGGGAGGGAATGGCTTGGTTCTGCCAGGGGATGGGGGGGCTCAAGGGCAGATGCTGACCCTGCCCTGGTGCCATAAGCTGCCCAAGGCACAGGTTGGTGCAGGGGGTGCTGCCCCTACCCATGCAGAAATACCCCCATGCTGTGGTATCCCTAGGGCCTGGGAGTACCAGGGCACAGCAATCAGACCCCTTAAAGCCATGCCAAGCACTGGTGTCACCATCCTGGCCCCAGCAGAGCCCAGGCCACTTTCAGTGGTGCCACAACAGCTCCCGTTCAGTGGTCTTGCTTGAGGCTGGGCTGTGCCTGTGGGCTCTGTGACACTGTTGGGGCTGTTGGGGCCATGGAGGGTCCCAGGGACCATCCCGAGCTGCCCCAGCTCCAGCTTGCATTGTCAGACATGCTGGCAGCTCCAATGCTCTGCAAGAAACCTCTGTGACACAGCTGGGGCTCCCGCCAGCCTCAGCACAGCCAGAAGTGCCAGTGGCTTTTCCTGTGCCTCAGCATCCTTTTCTGGTAACAGGAGCCAAGCCCTGGCTGACACAGGTCACCCTTCGGCCCTCCTCACCCCTCGGGGGCCGTGCAGTGCCCAGGGAGGCACTGGTGCCTGATGCCCCACAGCTCAGCTCCAATCCAGCAGCACCTGCTGTCCCTGAGGCTCCAGACAGGGAGACTTTGTGACAGAGAAAATCCTGGTATGGACATTGAGCGTGGTGTCTGCTCATGCACACCCAGTTTTGCACACACTTGGGGTGATGCTGGGGAGACATAAGCAGCCACCCAGCCCAGTGCAGCCTGTGTGGCACGGCCGTGGCCTTGCCATTTGCTGGGCAAGTCGTGACAACTGCTCCTCTGGGTGCTCACAGCAAGGAGAGCCATAAATAGCACAGCCCCTCGGCGGGGACGCGCCAGAGACGCTCTCCAGAGCCGGGCAGTGGAAAATCTGACAGGGCTTTCCACACCTGACCAGGCTCCAGCAAAGCACCTCGGTGGCACTGATAGTGCCAGCACCCGCTGTCGCGCCGTGGCTGGTGGGGAACAGGGGCCCCGGGGTTTGCAGCTGGTCCCACGGGTCCCTATGTGCCGTGAATCACCAGCCTGGGACCTGGGGGTGTCACAACTGGGTCCTGCTTGTCCCCCTGTCAGCCCAGGATCCACTGCCAGCTTTCCCAGCCTGCTGACACAATGGCAGCCCTGCACCAACCTGGTTTCAGCCCGGTTTGATGCTCCACAGACCCTGCGGTGTTTGGCACCCAGACATGCAGACTTGGGGGACATCACAGCTTGTCCCCCAGCACTTCATTAGCGACCCAGATCATCCCTCATGCTGCAGGGACCCCACACAATAATCACCCATTCCAGCCAGGGCAGAGCCCACCTGTGACCCAGGACACAGAGACTTCAGCCTGGAGAGGCAGCCCAGCACAAACCATCACTTGTGAGGAAACTCTCAGTCCAGGAGCACAGAACATCTCGGAATCTTCAGTGCTGCTCACCTACAGCCACAGAAGCAGAACCTGTGGCTGTGCTGGCAGACACCAGGTGCCACACGGACATTCACAGGAATCTGAAATCCTTGGTGTGTCCAGCCAGTGGTTCTGCAAAGCCACGGTGTGGGCAGTGAGGAACTGGCACAGGAAACCATCCTGCACACAGAGCAGAGGCTGTGCCAAGGCCTCATCACTGCACCACCATGGAGCAGAGGGCTCAACACAAGCTCTTGCAATGGTCATTTCCATAACAATGCCAAAGTTGGCTAAATCAGCACTGGAAATAACCTTGGAAATAACAAGCATGGTTAGACAATGGAGCTGACCCATTTTAGACCAGTCTTGGCAGAGGAGGGTGGGAGCTGATGGCCTCTTGCTCCTGAGAAAATCTGAGCTTCAAGTGCTCAACCATGAATAAAGACAACTCCTGGCTCTGGAGAGCCAGTGCAGGGAGAAACAGAGGGAAGAGGCAGCTGAGGACAACTCCTTTTTATTGAACAAAGTGTGAGTAAAAACACTTTTATTACATAAACATTAAAAAGGACAGAAACACAGGACAAGAAGAAAAACATAAAAATATTTAAATAGACAGTCAAGACATATCCCTCAGTGCTGCAGGAATGGTGCTGCTTCCTACAGGGCCAGAATAGCCACTCCAGTAAAGTATCTGGAAGGGGAAGATGGCTCTGCTCCTCCTGGGGAACCTGAGCACTGGAAGGGCTGAGCAACCAGTGACACCAAGGTGACAAACCAGCCTCTCCTGGCAGGGGATGAGGGGACAGGACTCGGTGCAGTCAGGGGAGCAGGAGCCAA